TTGCAATTATTTGTCACAGCAGCAACGGGAAACTAAATTAGCCCATAAAACAGTCAAGGTAGAGAAAACACTCAAACTGTCAAGCAGACAGTAAATAAATGTGTGTTTGCATCTCTGATTATGTTCAGCCGTAGAAAAGTGAATCACAGAGAGATCGCTCCATTCTGTCTTTTACATCCTCATACGTATCGGTAAACTCCGTTCCAGACACGTAGTGCCAGTGAGCTCTCTCAGCAGGTATATACAAGGAAGCCATCTACCACACATCATTATGTTTGCAAATCTGATAATCAAATAATAATAACAGCGCCATTCTGGTTTACGTTTCCTTTAACCGTTAGCGAGGCAAAACGTGCTTCATATCTTTATTAGCTGATTGTAATTTCCCCCTCTGAAAATTACCTAGGTCATCTTTTATTAGTCAGGATGACTTCATCCTGAGTAACAGAATACTTAACCTAAAAGTGGCTTAAACAACACAAGGTTATTTGAAAGTCTCGCATCACAAGCAGTCCAGAGGCAGGCTGTTAGAACCCTGGTTGTGCTTACGGTGACGTGAGGGCTGTGGTCAAGTTTTCTGTCGTTTTCTTTGGGATACCCTCAAGGTCATGGCCTGCTATGCCCTCCAAGCACCAGGCGGGCCCTCAGCACAGCCCTCTTCAGAGGCAGGGAGGACAGGAAAGGATTTCCCCTGGCATGACTCTCTCCTGTCTTTTCCCCCAAAGCCTCACAACCCACTTCATGTCTAATGGGTCACAGCTGGACACACGCCGTGGCATACCTGTAAAGGAAGCTGGAAGTGTGACATTTCTCTGCCTCTGCGTTGGGAGTGGGCTTCCCCAGCAGAGAAGGTGCCCCCACACCACACCCTGTGCAGTCTCGTCATTTTTCTTACCATTTTCATGAGCTCTATGGGGTAAGGATGTTAACGCTTCGTCTCTCATTGTGTGGCCAGCACTGATCCAAGTGCGTTTGCCTTTTCTGTTTTTGAGGCACTAAATGAACTCAGTGATTCCTTAGGAGACTAAAAAGAGTTTGTGTGCCTTCCTTCCCCTCTCAGAAAACACCGAGAGAAATCCATTTTGGCGGACCAAGGACAGGTGCCTGCAATGTGCTCAGTTCCGTGGGGTTCCCTCCTGTTCTCTACAGGTGCGTGACCTCACAGTAACAGTCACTCTCCAGGCTTTCAGGGGCCTGATCGCATCGGAGGCAAGGGACCTAACCCGGGGTGTGGAACGTGGCCCGGTGCCCCTCTGAGGACATGAGAGTAATAAAGAAGACTCTGTGCTCGACTTTGAAGTTCATCGCTTTCCAGAGCACCCTCTGGACCATCTGCGGAGATCTGCCCTCCCTCCCCCGGTTCAAATTGCTCAGGCTTTGACAGTTACAGAATGGATCCTCCATGCTCCTGTTAATTTCACCCCAGAAATGCCTGAAGGTCCTTCCCATGGGGCCGGGCGCCTCCACCAGCCTGAAGTTCCTTGGGAATCAGGATCGCATCACCTACTCCGGGATCTCTCAAGCACGGGATGTCTGAGCGCTCTTCTCATTCTGCACCTTTTGCTATTATGATAAAATCCCATTGGTACCTTTTTATCCCCTCAACATACATTCACACACACACTATTCCATCTGTCAGTCTGCTGTGAAGCTGCCTCCAAAGTAGCAGGGCTCAGAGGTCGGTCCCAGGGCCCAACATCACACCTGGTCCCTGGGCCAGGGCTGGAAGATTCCTACAGCCTCTCGGGAGCTGGCGCGGAACAGGAACCCAGCTGTGAGCGTCCCCCACTGCTCCTTTCCCCCAACCAGCACGCGGATGTTTTCTCTTCTTCGTCAGTCATTTCTGGCCGTTCTGACCTTTGAGTGTTTGTGATTCCAGAATACTGGATGGCTGCCCAATCGACCTTGGATCACACATCGGAATTCTCTGCCTTGTTGCAGCTGTTTGGCTCCTGAACAGAAGCTTTCCCAGGTCCTTTGACATGGTGGTGGTAATGTTTTAAGTGATGTGGGCAAAGAGCATCTCCGAGACCTCCGTTAGAACACGGTCGTTTCCAGAACACATGTTCTTTGCCGCATGGTTATTAGCAGTTCTGGGCATCAGTATTGAAAGATACATAAAACTCCTTCATTTACCATTAGATTTTTGTGAGACATGTTTAACAATAACTAATCACGGAAGATAGATGAGTTTGACATTGGTATTGAAAAGGGCAAGCTGTGGATCTGGCTTTCATCCGCTCCCTTGCGCTCTGAATCCAGAAGCTCAGTGGTCTAGGGCTCCCATCAAATGGATGTTCAAGGTGGTCAACTCAGCAGTTCTGACCCTGGTTAGGAGCCACCACCAATGAATTTACCTGCCCACACTCACATCCTCCCTCTCCGCCCACCTCGTCACCAAACATTTGACATCACCAAGCTTTGACGATTACATCTCCTCCATGGCTCTCAGGTCTGTCCCCTCCACTCCCTTCCTACCAATACGGCCCCAGGCCCTCCCTTCCTGTTACACTGGTATTACTACACAGGGTCCTCTCTCTGTCTCTGTCTCTGTCTCTGTCCCCTCTCCCCCCCCCCCCCCCGACCATTCTCTGACCTACTGAGAAAGGAAGGGACTGTGATATAGCACCATCTGTCTCTCAACGTCAACAGCACCCTCAGCACCTCTGGGTGCAAGGCTAGTTCTCAGCATAGCCACCGGCCTCTGCCCACCCTCCCGGGTCCCCATGTCCTCCAGCGCCAGCCCTTCAAACAGCTCACGGAACATACGTGACTCACTCTTGTCACTCTCGTTGCACTAGCTTCTTTCGGCCTGTGTTTTAAACATAGGATTTATTGTTAGTCAGGCGTTGTGAGGCCAACAGATCAGGGGATGGCTGCCGCTGAAAAGATATTCTGTTAGTCACAGTTCCCAAGAGCTGGGCCCGTCGTGCTACCCGGGGAAGCCCTGGGCCACTCAGGATGGAAAGAGCAAATGCGAGATGTGGGCAAGAGACTTCTCTTGGTTTCTGTGGGAAGGAACTGTTGAGGCAGGGCAAGCAGGCTTAGGATCGGCTGGTCGGAGACATTTCAGCAGGCTCTGGGGTACACGGCTGCCCGTACTCGTATGGTCCCTGGCCCTGGGGGGTTAGAGCAGGTGTCGAGGGGCCTTGAGAGTGAGAGCTGTTAAAAGAAGTGATGAGGTGTGGGCTCTGTTGCTGGTTTGCCTAGGAAAAGCGAGCTCCTGGGCCTGTCTTTTGCTTTCTCTAAGAATTAGCCCGCACTGGGAGCAGTGGTCCCTCTCTGGTCAGCAGGGCTCTAGATGTCAAAACAGCAGGTGCCAGGGCATCCGGGGGCTCAGGCGGTTAAGTGTCCGACCTCGGCTCAGGTCACGATCTCACGGTTCGCAGGTTCGAGCCCCACGTCGGGCTCTGTGCTGACAGCTCGGAGCCTGGAGCCTGTTTCGGAATCTGTGTCTTCCTCTCTCTCTGACCCTCCCTTGCTCATGCTGTCTCTGTCTCTGTCTCTCTCTCTCTCAGAAATAAATAAAACATTAAAAAAAAACCAGCAGGTGCCCCTCTGGAAAACAGTGTGGAGGTTCCTCAGGAAACTAACAATAGAACTCCCTTATGACCCAGCAATAGCACTGCTAGGAATTTACCCAAGGGATACAGAAATGCTGAGGCATAGGGGCACATGTACCCCAATGTTCATAGCAGCACTCTCCACAATAGCTAAAACATGGAAAGAGCCTAAGTGTCCATCAACTGACGAATGGATCAAGAAGATGTGGTTTATCTGCACAATGGAATACTACATGGCAATGAGAAAGAATGAAATCTGGCCATGTGTAGCAACATGGATGGACCTTGAGGGTGTTATGCTGAGCGAAATAAGTCAGGCAGAGAAGGACAAATATCATATGTTTGCACGTATAGGAGGATTAGGAGGAACTTGACGGAGGAACAAGCGGGAGAAGAAGGGCGGAAATGGTGGGGGAAAGGGAGAGAGGCAAACCATGAGAGACTCTTGAATGCTGAGAACAAACTGAGGGCTGATGGGGGGGGAGGGGAGGAGGGGGGTGATGGGCATGGAGGAGGGCACTTGTGGGGATGAGCACTGAGTGTTATGTAGAAACTAATTTGACAATAAACTATTTGTAAAAAAAAAAAATAAAAAAATAAATAAATAAATAAATAAATAAACAAACAGTAGGTGCATACACCAGAAGGTGTGGTCAGCACAGTTTGGAATGCCCTTCCCTTCATCGCTGGCATAACTGATGGGCAGCGGGTCACGGCATAAGGCTCCAGAGGTTCCCATGCAGCCTCAGGTCAACCAGGAAGCTTCTCACAGCCTTGGCTCCCCATCTGTGGAGGCCCAGGGGACAGATGCCGCCAGCACTCTGCTGGGCGTGGAAGCGGCTCTGAGTGGATGTCAGCTTCCTCCTCTCCAGCCTTGTCTTCCCGAGAACAGCTCACTGGTCCTTATGCAGGACACAGGACACGCTCCGACCCCTTGGTCTGGGTTGTTGGTTCCCCTCAAGCCCGGTGGTCACCTATTTCAGCCCTCATCCCACTAGATTGGATGTGTCTGTCTGTCCGTCTGTCTCCCCCGCCGGGTGGGTCGCTCTTTGACGGCAGGAGCATGTCCTCCGGGCCTGAATCCCGACAACCCGCCTGCAGGACCCTAGCTGCTGGTCACAAGGGCTTGCTCAGCTCGCGTTTAGAAGGTCAACGAATTAACCATGGCTCTGTCCCCTGCCTGTGGGCCGCTCTGAGGTCAGACACTCATGCTTCCTCATCCGGAGTCACCGCACTTCCCTCTGCTGGAAGTCAGGCCAAGCCAGTAGCGCATTTGCACGCCAGCTGGAGGGGTGCAGCTGGGCCGGGGGGCCCTGACTCCCTAGTCCCGCCGGGGCCGCGCGCCCTGGCCGCGGATGCCGGGCCCCCGCGCGGAGCAGGACCCGGGCAGCCGGCGGCCGGTCAGCAAGGCACTCTTCGTTCCATCGTCCGGAAGCACTTCTTCAGCCGTTAGGACGTGCCCGACGGCGGGTAGGCGCGGACGGTACAAAGAGTTAAATTTTTTTTTTTTTTCCCTCAAGGCTCTCGGGTTCTAGCCGAAGAGTCAGATGAGTAGAGACGCAGAGAAGATGACCCTGGAACCGCTAGAGGAAGTAAGTGCTCCCGATTCAACCTGGAGGGAATCGGGCGGGCTTCCTGGTGGAGGTGACGCCTTTGCTGAGTCTTGAAGGAGACATGGAGATAAGTGGGAGGAGGAGAGACAGACCAGACTGTCGAAGGAGCAAGCAAGAGAGAAGAGGGCACCCCATGGCCAGAGAAACACTTCAGCCAAATAAATAGCCACAAATCTCAGTCAGTAGATTCCAATGAGGTCACAGCAATTCTGTCAGTGCTCAGATGTGAGAAAAAGAACACCCAGCTAAAAGTCACTCGAGCCGGGGTTTTTCAGACGCCGGTATGCATGCAAATCACCAGGGATCTTGTTAAAATCAAGACACTGATAAACAAATAAAAAACTAAAACTTTTTTTTTTTTTTAAAGGAAGGTACTGATTGAGATCTGGGGTGGAGCCTAGCTCAGGAGAAATGCAGAAGGTAGAGGGCACCCGGGTGGCTCGGTCACGTAAGTGTTGGACTCTGGATGTCAGCTCAGGTCTCCATCTCAGGGTCGTGAGTACGAGCCCAGTGTTGGCCTCAACACTGGGCATGCAGCCTACAAAAAAAATATAACAAAATAAAAAAGTAAAAATAAAGCTTGGCATTTAGGGGTCAGCCTGGGTGGCTTAGTCAGTGGAGTATCCGACTCTTGATTTCGGCTTGGGTGGTGATCTCAGGGTCGCGGAATCAAGCCCGTTGGCAGGCCCCGCACTGGGTGTGGAGCCTGCTTGAGAATCTCTCTCTCCCTCTGCCCCTCTTCCCCGCTCACATTCTCTCTCTCTCTCAAATTAAAAAAAAAGCAGAAATGCAGGATGTAATTGACAATATAATCAAGGTGAGCTGTGGACCACAACTTTAGGTGGCAAGAATTAAACATCAAGGGGGAATCTTATCACATAGAGCAGGATATGGGGATCAGGTGGTCCCATGATGGGATTGGTGCCTCAAGGAGGTCCCCAAGGGCTCAGGCTTTTCTGTCTTTCATGCTGACCGCAGCCCCTCTCTCTCCTCATCTTACATTCTTAGCATCGAACAATGGCTCTCACGGCTCTAGACATCTGTCTTCCCATAACAGAATCAAAGACAACAGGGTGTTTCTCCTCACAGGGCTCTCCCTTCACCAGGGAGAAAAATCTCTCCCAGAATATTAATCATATTCTATTTTATTATATTAACTGTGTTATATTTATTATATTACATCTTCTCCCAGAATATATATGTATATTATATGCAGATAGAGATATATGCATATTCACTGATCTACCTATCTAGCGAGAGAGAGAGAGAGAGAGAGAGAGGGAGAGAGAGAGAAAGATTATAAGGAATTGGCTCAGATGATCTCAGAGCCTGACAAGTGCCAACATCTGCAGGGGTAGTCAGAAGCTGGAAGCTCAGAGAGCCAATGGCGTCATTCCAGCTCAAGTCTGACGGCCTGAGAACCAGGAGAGTCACTGGTGTAAGTTTCGGTTGGAAGGCCAGCAGGCTCTTAAATCCAAGAAGAGCCAATGTTCCAGTTTGAAGACTCTTGAATGCTGAGAACAAACTGAGGGCTGATGGGGGGGGAGGGGAGGAGGGGGGTGATGGGCATGGAGGAGGGCACTTGTGGGGATGAGCACTGGGTGTTATATGGAAACCAACTTGACAATAAACTATTTGTAAAAAAAAATAAAATAAAAAGCATTTTAAAAACATTAAAAAAAAAAAGAGAGAGAGAGAGAGACTGGCTCCCCATTGCTTGGCCAGGAAGCACCTGAGGCCCAGGGAGGTGTTCCACAGGTCAGCCCTCGAGGTCTTTTCCTCCATATCAGTGCCGGGTCCACATGCCAGCCTCAGGCCATTCCTAAAGGCATTGCACACACCCCCCATCTGTCTTGTACGGGCCTACTCTTGAATTTTCTCAAATGCCTCCGAGCCCTTCTTCACATTGTGACTGCCTTCCACCAGCACCTTCTCCATGCCCTGGTCTCAGCCTCATGGCTAAACACTCCTGAATTGCGAATTGCGTGGAGCCCAGTTTCAGATGTATTTTAAGCATTTTCCGCGAGAAGCTCCTCTGCCCTCATTTAAATCAGTAGCCATAGATAGTTGGGGTGGGTGGGGAGAGATAGCACTTCTGTGCGCCAGACCTACCTAATCTCAGCTGTCTCAAGATGATGTGTGCAGTTATATGTGACTAGGTAGTAATTTTTAGGGTAGTTAAAAGTGGAGTGGGGGAGTATGCTAAGAAATGAATTTGGAAACTGTGTGCCTGGTGCTTTACTGGACACTGTGAATACAGTGTGATGGCATGCTCCCAACCCTAATGCAATATAGATCATAGAGGGGGTGCTTGGGTGGCTCAGTTAGTTAAGCATCCAACTTTGGCTCAGGTCATGATCTCACAGGTCGTGGGTTCGAGCCCCGCATCGGGCTCTGGGCTGACAGCTCAGAGCCTGGAGCCTGCTTGGGATTCTGTGTCTCCCCCACTCTCTGCCCCTCCCCCACTCATGCTCTGTCTCTCTCTCTCTCTCTCTCTCTCTCTCTCTCAAAAATAAATAAACATTAAAACAATTTAAAAAACAATTTGGATCATAGAGGTACCTGAGATACCTACTGAAGGATTCAAAGTTATCTGAAAGTTACCTGAAAGGGAGCCAAGTGACACAGGATTTAATCACATAATGGCATAATTAATTGATGGCATAATATGCCTTACTTCTGTAACAGTTCCCTCTGGGGCCCATGTGGAGGATAGACTAGAGGCAGCTATAACTAAAGGCAAGATGACCATCGTCCCATGCAGTGATTTAGGTGAAAAGTGATCAAGGTGTGAGTCAAGGCCATAGTCATGGGGTTGGGGAGAAGAAGGTAAGTATAAAACACATAAGGGAGACTGAGTCTATAGGATTTTATGAGCTCACGAATGATGTGACATGGAAGTAGTGACGGGGGGGAAGAGTCCATGGAGGTCCCTCCAGATCAGAACGTCCCGACGGATACCAGGTGCAGGGAAATATCCGTCCTTTTGGTGCTCATCACACTGAATTTGGATCGTTGTGGGACACCTAGCCAGGCCCATCACTGTTGGATTACAGCTTTAGATTCAAGAAAGAAATTTAGGCTGCACAAATTCCAGAATCAAGAGTTGTCATCATGCAGTTTAAGTTATTTATATGGATGAGACTCCCAGGGAAAGGGTAACGATGTAGTTTGAGGACAGAGACCTAGATATAATATTTCAGGCCATTTCGAGAGGGAAGTGTCTGGGAAGGATCCTGAGAAGGAGTAAAAAAATCAATAAACAACAGAGACTTTCAAGAAGGAAGTAGGCAATTCCTTCGGGACATTTTTATTGAATATCTAGGCACCATTCTAGGCCCCGGCAGTGAGGAACAAGGCTAACCTTCATAAAGCCAGCAGTCTACAAGGGCATAAACCATGAAGTAGGGGTCCTGCCGAGATGCTGAACTAGTGCAGGCTGCTAACCCCTTCACCGGGCGTAACGCTGGAGAGGCCAAAGACCTACAAGGAAAATGTATAAATTTGAAGAACTAAAGACAGTGACAAACTCTGAGGGAAGAGACGGGGGATGTCCACCTGGTATGGAGCGGCCTGGTGAGAGGCACGCATGGTCCGCTACTGGCGAAGAAGCTAATTTGTGCTGCTTTCTCCTCCATAGGACCTCGGTGCTTGCTGCCTGCCTTACAGCCCCTGTGATGGAGAAATACCATAGTAAACATGTGGCGATAATCGCAGCCAATGGGCTGAGTGGTGAACAGATAACAACCAAGGAGAACCGATTAGCCCCTGAACTGTCCCTCTCCCCCTGCCCCTGTACCCCCACACTTCAAATACTGGGCAACTATAACAAGGAGGGTAGTTGTTAGAAGGCCAGGGGAGAGTATAGTGAAGATCTCTCTGACACAAGAGCACTAAATGGGTGTTCTCGAGAACCGATCATGGTACCAGGAGGTCTCTGTCCTGAGGCACACATTATGACTGTAAGCCAAGAGGTTTATTACCAGAAGCACACAAATGGGGGGCAATTACTAAAATAACATCAACAGTCCTTATATTATCTAAAAAATTTGGCTTTCAATAAAAGAAAATTACACGCAAAAACCCCAAGCCAAACCAAACCAAAACAAAAAACAGGAAATTACAGGCTGTACTCAAGGGAAAAAATACAGTCAATAGAAACGGACTCTGAGTGGAATCAGATGTTGAATTTAGTAAACAAAAATTTCAAAGTGGCTAGTAAGACTGTGTTCAAAGAAGTAAAGGAAACTATGTCAAATAATTAACAGAAAATATTCTATCAATGACTGTTATGGATTGAATGTTCATGTCCCCCCAAAATTCATTTATTGCAGCCCTCACCCCCAATGTGGCTGTACTTAGAGATAGTGATGGCGAGGAAGTGATAAAGGTTAAATGAGATCATAGGGGCAGGCTGGTGCCCTTATGAGAAGAGAAAGATATACTCGTTCTTTCTCTCCACCAATGTGAGGACACAGCAAGAAAGCAGCTGTTTGCAAGCCAGGAAGAGAATCCTCAGCAGAAATCAATCTTGCAGGACCTTGATCTGGAATATCTAAACTTCAAACTGAGGAAATAGATTTCTGTTGTTTAAGCCACTTAGTCTGTGGTATTCTGTTATGATAGCCGGAACACAACAATACACCAACTTCACAAAATCTCAATAGAGAAGTAGAAACTATTAAAAAAATTCAAATGGAAAGTTTAGAGTTAAAAAATACAATAACTGAAATTTAATATTCACGAGATAGGCTCAGCGGAAGATTAGAGATGGCAGAAGAATCAGTGACATTAGAGATCAATAGAAATGATCCAGTCTGAAAAAAAAAATGATCCAATCTGAAGAACAGAAAGAAACAAGGGACTCAGGATAAATGAACAGAGGACAGAGACAGTGACACATCAAGTATGCAACATACTAGCAGTGGGAGTCTAAGAAAAACAGAAGAGTAAGAGAAAGTACAGAGAAATCATTTGGAAAAAATAATGGCCACAATTTTTACAAATATGATGAAAAATCCATCAGAGAAATATAATAATGAAATAGCAACTGATAACAGAGCCCCAAAATACATAAAGTAAAAACTGACAGGGCTGAAAGGAAATATAGACAATGCAGTAATTAGAGTCAGAGAATTCATTATTCCTTTCTCAGAAATTGATAGAACAAGACAGAAAATCAATAGGGATATAAAGACTTGAACAACATCCTTCCCCCAAACAGCAAAATTACACATTCAAACACACATTTATTCTCCAGAATAGACCATATGCTAGACTCTTAAGTCTCAATAAATATAAAAAAAATTAAATAATAGAACATACGTTTTCTAGCCACCACATAATTAGTCAGATGTCAGAAACAGAAAAAAAAACTGGGAAATGACCAAAAATTTGGAAATTAAACAATACACTTCTAAGTTATCCCTGGGTCAAAGCAGAAATCACAAGAGAAATTTAAAAATATCGTGACTGGGATAGTAGTGAAAACACAACATAAAATTTATGAAATGCAGAGAAAGCCATACCTAGAGACAAAATTATAGCTTTAAATACATAACATTAGAAAAATTAGATATCTAAAACCAACAATCTAAGTTTCTGCCTAAAGAAACTAGTAAAAGAAAAATAAATCATGCCCAAAGTAATTGTACAGAAATAATAAATAGCAGAGAACAATTCAATGAAATAGAAAACAGAACACAATAGAGAAAATCAAGCAACTGAAGCAGGTTCTTTGAAAACGTCAACAACATTTTGACACTGATAGGCTTTTGCAGCCTGGGTGGCTCAGTCAGTTAAGCATCTGACTTCGACTCAGTTCATGATCTCACAGTTCATGGGTTCGAGCCCCACGTCGTGCTGTGTGCTGACAACTCAGAGCCTGGAGCCTGTTGTCTCCCTCTCCCTCTGCCCCTCCCATGCTCATGCTCTGTCTCTCTCTCTCAAAAATAAAATAAACATTAAAAAACAAAAAGAGGGGTGCCTGGGTGGCTCAGTCAGTTAAGCTTCCAACTTTGGGTCAGGTCCTGATCTCACAGTTTGTGGGTTCGAGCCCCGCGTCGGGCTCTGTGCTGACAGCTCAGAGCCTAGAGACTGCTTTGGATTCTGTGTCTCCCTCTCTGCCCTTCCCTTGCTAGTGCTCTGTCTCTCTCTCTCTCAAAAATAAACATTTAAAAAAATTAAAATTTAATTAAAATTCAAATTTAAAAAATGAAAAAAATAAAAGATTGACAGACTTTTGTCAGACTAACCAAGAAAAAAGAACAAAGTCTATATAAATTAAAAGATGATAAGGGGAAATTATGAATAACTTTATGCCGACTCTAGTGTGGTTTCCTTCCCCATGCCACCGAGTAATTCTGTATCACCAGCTGGGTATCCCACAAATTCTACTCCATCCTGACATTATCTACCTGGAGATAAGCATCGGATCCCACAGGTTAAGGATCCGGTCGTTCCAGACTGCTTCACCCCATGACTTCAGTCACCAAATGCAAGTCCAGTTTGCCACCTAAGCTTCAGAATGACTGATGATAAATAGCTGGGGGTTTTGTTGTTGTTTGTTGTTTCTGAGAGAGAGAGCACCAGCAGGCCCGCAGGGTCAGGGAGAACGAGAGAGAGAATCTCAAGTAGGCTCCGCACGGCCAGCCCAGAGCCCAACACTGAGCTTGATCCCACAAGCCATGAATGAGATCATGACCTGAGCTGAAGTCAGACGCTTAACCAACTGAGCCACCCAGGTGCCCCTAGAATGACTGACTATAAATCAGAGCTTCCCAGCCCCCTCCTCTAGCAATTGATTAAATTGCTAGAGGGGCTCACAGCACTCAGAGAAGCATGCTAACTTACTAGATGACTTATTACAAAATGATACAATGCAGGAAAGGCCAGCTGGAACAAAGGGTAAGATATAGGGAAAGGGGTGGGCTCGGCTCTCCCCTGCCACTCTCCGTATGTTCATCCTTTTAGGGTTTATGGAGGCTTCTAGCACAGAAGCACGGTTGATTAAATCATTGGCCATTTGTTGAACCCCATCTCCAGTCTTTTCCCCTTGCCTGAGGTGGTGGGAGGGGGACAGAAATTTCCAGTCCTTGAATAACAGGTTGGTTCCCTGGCAGCCAGCTCCCATCTTTGGGTTCTCCAGGGGCTTTCCACACATCACCTTACTAACATGACAAAAGACCCCTTTATCACTTTCATTGCTTAGAAAATCTCAAGGGTTTTAAGAGTTCTGTGCCAGGACGATGACCAAATATAGCTTTGTTATTATAAACCAAAATATGACACCAACATATGATAAAATGGAAAAATTCCTAGGAAGACACAGATTACCAAGATGGACTCAAGAACAAATAGAAAATCCTAAAAGACCTGTTAAAAGGTGAAGAAACTGAATTGGTAACTTAAAATATTCCCGCAAGGAAAATGAGATGTCCAAAGGTGGTCAATTCTGGTGGTAAATTTGGTCATTTCTATCAAATATTTAAGGAAAGAGTAACATGCATTTATACAAACTCTCCTAGAAAACTGAGCAAGAGAGAACATTTCCTATCTCATTCTACGAGTTCAGCATTATCTGATACTAAAACCAAAAAAATTATAAGAAAAAAAAGCTGCAAACCAGCATGCAGAATTTTAAACAAAGTATTAACACATAGAATCCCACAATATATCAAATAGATAATACATCATGGGCTAGCTAGTGAGATGTATCCCAGGGATGCAAAGTTGGTTTAACATGAGAAAATCAATGAGTGTAGTTCACTATATCGGTAAAATAAAGGACAAAAACCACATGATCATCCCATTTTGCAAAAAAAATTATACCAAATCCAACATCTAGTTCTCATTAAAAAAACAAAAAACAAACAAAACAACAACAACAAATCTGGAACAGAAGGGAACTTCCTCAACTTGCTAATAGGCATCTACCATAATCCCTAAACCACTATCATAATTGAGTGAAAAGCCGGATATCTTCCCCAAAATCAGGAACGAGGCAAAGACATCCTCTCTTACCACTTCTTTTCAACACTGAACTGAAGGGAAGTAAGGCAAGAGAAAGGCACGCTGATTAAAGACAAGATAACATTTCTATTTTTCACATTATTCTATATGTAGATCTTACATAGGAATTTTTTTCTATTAATCCTATATACAGGAAATTCTAAGAAATCTATGAAAAACTATTAGAATGAATAAACTTAGGGCTGAAGAATCCAAGATCAATATGCAAAAATCCACCGTATTTCCTTATTTTAGCTAAGAACAACCTGAAAATGAAATTAAGAAACCAGTTCAAGGGCACCTGGGTAGTTCAGTGAGTTCATCGTCAGACTCTTGACCATGATCTCAGGGTCATCAGATCAAGCCCAGAGTTGGGCTTCCCTCTGAGCATGGAGTCTGCCTGAGATTTTCTCTCTGTCTCACCCCTCTGCCCCTCCTCTCTACTCACACTCCCTCTCTCTCTCTCAAAATAAGTAAGTAAACATTTGTAAGAAGAAGAAGAAGAAGAAGAAATAAAAAAAGAAGTTCATTGACATTTTAGTTGTTAGAAAGATATGAAATAGAGTAAATCTGAAAAAAGATGTTCAAGGCCCATGTATTAGTTTTGCTAGTGCTAGCTGCAAACAATCAGAGCCTTAGCAGCCTAGAAATACACTCACAGTTTTTGTGAGTCAGGAGTCTGGGCATAGCTTATCTTGAAT